AAATGGATGGAACTAGAAGAAACCATCCTGAGTGAGGTAACCCAGTCACAAAAAGACAAACATGGTATGTACTCACTCATATATGAATTTTAGACATAGAGCAAAGGATTACCAGCCTACAATCCTCTTCACCAAAGAAACTAGGAAACATGAAGGACTCCACGGGATAAAGGAATGGACCCCAGGAATGGGAAGTGACAGGAACTCCTGAGCTAATTGGGAGCATGAGGGTAGGGGAGAGGGAGCTGCCACAATAAGAGCAGGAGAAGAGGAGAGGAAATGGAGGAGCTGAAATGTTGAGTTGGGGGAAGAATAGAGGAGAGAGAGCAGGATGAGAGATACCATATTAGAGGGAGCCATTATAGGTCTGAGGAAAGATCTGGCACTAGGGAGATTTCCAGAGACCTACAAGGATGACAGGAACTGACAATCCAGGCAATGGTGGAGAGGATAACCTAAACACCCTTCCCCTAAAATGAGATTGATGACTACTTTTTATGCCATCCTAGAGCCCTCATCCAGTGGCTGATGGAAGCAGAGACAGACATCCACAGATACACACTGAACTGAACTCTGGAACTTAGTTGAAGAGAGGGAGGAATGAAGATCGAAGGGTTCGGTACCAGGTTGGAGAAACCCACAGGAACAGTTGGCCTGAACAAGGGGGAGCTCATCGACCATGCTGTCTGTGAGGCCAGTACAGGACTGATCCAGACCCCTGAACATGGATGTCAATGAGGAGGCCTCCTCACTCTAGGGGGGGCCCTGGTAGTGGATTAGTATTTTTCCCTGGTGTAAGAAGAGAGCCCATCCCATGTGAAGGGATGCTCTCTTGCCCTGTACACATGGGGAAGGGCCCAGGCCCAGCCCAGGATGATGTGGTGGGCTTTGCGGAGCCCTAGTTGAGGGCCCTACCCTGCCTGGGGAGTAGAAAGTGGATGAGGTGGGGGGTATGTCAGGTGTGGGGGAGGAAAGATGGGGGTGAGGGGAGGGAGAGGGAGAAGGGACTTACATGTGAAACAAGCTTGTTCCTAATTTGAACTAATAATAATAAAAAAGACCAGACAGACATTCATAAGAAAGAATAAGTCTCTGTGTAATTATTTGGGAGCTGGGTGGTGGATTCCCCAAAGAGTAAAAGAGAGAAAAAAAAACAATTACAGGTTTGTGTCTAGGTCCTCTATTTTATTCCATTGATCTGTGTATCTGGTTTTATGTTGATACCATATTTTTGGTTTTGGGGGTGTGTTACTATTGTTGTTACTATGCCTCTGTAATATAAATTCAAATCAGGTTGGTGATACCCCCTAGCATTGTTCTTTTTCTCAGATTTATTCTTTAAATATCTGGAATCTCTTTCCTTCCATAGGAATGATAAGATTTTTTTTCTATTTCTTTGAAGAGTGATGCTGAATCTTTCACAAAGATTGTATTGAATCTATAGGTTGGTTTTGGCAGTATTGACATTTTAACAATATTAATTATTGCAGCTCTTGTGTATGATAAATCATTTCATCTTCTGTTTTCTTCATTTTTTTCTCTGTTTTACAATTTCCATTGTAGAGTTCTTTCATTTTCTTGGATAGCTTTATTCCAAGGTATTCCTCTCACTGATCCTGGAGCTGCCTTTTCCACTAGCCTGGCTGGCCAGAGAGGCCCTGGGATCTACCTGTCTCTTTTCCCCTCCAGTTCTGGAATGTACACCACTAAGCTTGGGTTTTATATGGACATGTGTTTGGCAAGCACTTTACCTAGGGCAAGGGATAGGGGGTTGAGCTACTGCCATGGCAACACAAGGGTCCAAGGTTACAGAAGTGAGACTGTGACCAGAGGTGGGGGGTACATACATGAGATAAACTTTGAGACATAAATAGGTGTCTTGTTAACAGACTGGCAAGTGAAGACTTGGAATGCTTTTCTTAGTTACCTTGGTTGGACATCTATGACTCTGATCTTGAGCAAGCTGTAAAGTTTTAAACTTATGCTCTACTTTGTCTAGTTTGAATTTGCTTTGAGGGAAAAGTGAGCTAATTATGTGTAGTTAGTCTGAACCAAAAGGAACAAAGCAGGCTTTTTTTAAAATCATTTTTTTATTTGAATTAGAAACAAGATTGATTTACACGACAATCCCAGTTTCCTTCTCCCTCCCATCCTCCCCTGCCACCCCCCCCACTAAAACCCTACCTATCACAAATCCTTTCTTCTAATCTACACCTGACTCAACCTTTCGGCTCCCTCATGACCTCTGTGTCCTTTCTCTTCTTCCCTTCTCATCCTCATAGCTCCCCCCCCCACTTCCCATGCTCTCAGTTTGCTCAGGGGATGGTGACCCTTTCAGGTCCCACTGCAGCTTCAGCCCCAAATAAAAACACAGACGCTATATTAGTTATAAAATTGTTGGCTAATGGCTAGGGCTTCTTATTGGCTAGCTCCATCTTAATTATTAACACATAACTACTAATCTATGTATTTCTACCTTATCTTACCAAAGAACATCTGGTGCATCCTTTCTTCCGGGTCCCTACATGGGGTCTTCTCCCAGTCTCTCTCTGGCTAGCTTTCCAGAATTCTCCTCTCCTAGTCCGGCCTATCTTCCTGCCTGTGTTAGCTAAACAGTGTTTTATCCATCAACCAATAAGAGAAACATATATACAGAAGGCGTGTCTGGTTTGAGGGAGTCACTGAGAGCGGAACTGAGGCGCCCAGCATGGACAGAGATAGTGAATGCTGGGGGGGGGGGGGGACTGACGGCAGAAATCCCCTGAAAAGGCTCAGTGCTCCTGGGTAATACACAAGTTAACTAAAATGGTGATAAAAATCAAACCACACATAATAAGAAGGGTGGCTGCTGCGATGTGGGAGCCCAGGCACATCTTGACTCTGCAAAGCATCTTAGCCCCCAAGCTGCCCTCCTGCTCCTCCAGCTCCCGCTTCTGCCTCGCCACCTCCTGCCTCACCTTGGCCAGGTAGCACCTGTAGGCTTCTTGGCTCTCACTGGTGTTATCACTAAGGAGCACATGGGCATGAAGGAAGAGGTCATTGCTGTGGAAAGAGCCCTCACACTCCTGCTCCAGAGCCCTCACCTGGGCCATGAGCTCTGCCAGCTGCCCCTGCTGCTCTTCCCCAGAAGCCCTGTTATTAAAGGCACAGTACCTCCTCCCACACTCCTGGACCAGGCTGCGCAGGCTGTGGTTGTCAGTGTGGGTCACAAACTCATCCAAGGTCTCATTGGCCAGGTCTTCCTTGTGGGTAAAAAGGAGGATCATGTGCCTCATGACTCCTGCCCCGAAGATCTCCTTCACCCTCCTGACGGCTATGGTGTCCTGGGCTGTGAAGCGTCCCAGCTGGGTCACCAGCAACAGTACATGGGGTCCCGGGGCACACAGCAGATAGCAGTCTGCAATGTCCTTGTCTTGGTTCTGGGCCTCTGACTCAAAGATGGGTGGTGTGTCTACCACTAGGAAGCTCCTTCCCTTCCATGTGCCCATCTCTGCCTTGCTGGTCCTGGTCACTGACTGGGCTCTGAGCCTGGACTCGAATGCTTGTCGGCAGAGGATGCTGTTCCCCGTGGCGCTTTTCCCACAGCCAGATTTGCCCACCAGGAGGATCCTCAGCCAGCAGGAGTTTGCTATATAGCAGGCTTCTCTGCTCCCTGTGGACGAGAGAAAGTTTATGCCTCACTTACAAAGTCTTCAGACTGTGACGTCATGGGTCCTTGTAGATAGCTCCTTGTTCCCCCCAAAATAGGTGTCACTCAAATGTTCCCAACTGTTTGCCTATAATTTTAGGTAGTTCTTGTCTTTCATGAAGTCCCTGTTGGGAGCCCATCCTAGGACACACAGGCACGGGGTGGGACTGCCACAGAAAGGAGAGGCTCTGTTCCATCAGGACCACAACAAATGTGTCATTTCTGAAGAAAAGGTCCCCGTGCTCTCCCCTGGAGGATGCTCAGGGCAGATCCCCAGAAAACTGGCTGTGAAATAAGTATGAGTTTAGAAGTAGGCAGAGAAGAGAAGTCATGAATGATAAAACAGAGTCACAGCTTTTACCCACAGTGTTCAGACACACTGTGTAAACGTGCTCAGCATCTGTCCTCCAGAGGTTACTTCAGGTGGAAGAGCTGCAGCGACTCACGTCAGAGCCATCTGGATAGCCTAGGAAGCAAAGTGGTCACTGGGAAATGAGATGAGGGATGGTGGCAGCTAAGTCTGGGAAATGATAGGGAGCTGGCTACTGAAGAAGGGTGGAAGACAAGAGTGTTAAAAACACTGAGAAGCAGACATGCTAGGAAGGCCATCTATCTGCCAGGTGTGGCCCAGGGCCTATAGCAAAAGGAGTGCTGGAGAGACTCCATGACCCAAGAGCTCAAATCTCCAGCATGGAAGGGCGGAGGATCTGGGACTGGCTTATGAGTCCAAAGAGTTCTAAGGGCACTATAGACTCCTAAAAATCCGTCATTTGGGGGAAGCAGAGGGTGTGGCTCAGTGGTAGAGTGCCCATCCAGCAGGTGTGAGGCTCAGGGCTCAATTCTCAGTGTCACAGAAAACAAAATCTATTCAAATCTATTTTACTCCGTTTACTCTGTCTCTCCCTTGCTGTTCTGGGTTGATTTGTAAGAAATAGTAACTTTAGGGGACTTTTCTTTCTTTCTTTTTGAACAGCTGAGAGGAGAGAGGAAAGAAAGGGAAACTATGTCTCTGCTTAGTTCCAGGCCCTTCTAACTCTGGATGTATGTTGGTGTCACATTTCCCCACATTGTGTGGAGGAGAGTGTCGCCGTGGAGTGTGTGTGTGTGTGTGTGTGTGTGTGTGTGTGTGTGTGTGTGCACATGCATGTGAGTATGTGAGTATGCATGTGTGTGTTTGCAAGCATGTGCATGTGCCTCTGTGTGCCTGTGTGCACAGGTGGGGTACACGCATGTGAGCACATGTGTATGTGTGTGTACATGGTGTGTACATGAAAACAACAGTGGCTTGGACACAGAGATTTGGAGACATGGGGAACAAACAGCAGTGGCCTTTTTCTTCTTGATCTTAACTGGGTGTCTGACCCTTTTTGCCCCAAAACAGGTTGGATAAGGAACAGTGACTCCCTTCCATTCTTCATTACTTCAGGACCTTGGCGCTTTCTTACCTTCAGTGATAGTTCCATATGTGCTCTTCTGAAGGCCTTCCATTCTTTTCTGGAACCAAAACAGGAAAGGATGTAAAGTCAGGTCCATGTGGGAACTGGTAAGACACTCTGACTCAGGTAACTCAGGATACTGTCCTTGCACGACCATTCCCATGGTTAACTCTCCCACCTATGTTTTACTTTCAAACATCTAAGTAGCTGGCTGGAGTGAAGCAGGGTCATCCCAGGACAACGTGCTGTTGCTTTTCCTCACTCATGGGATGAACAATAGATGAACTGATGATCTCCATCAAGCTGGAAGTATAAATGTGGGAAGCTTTCGTCTATGAGAAAGAACTGGAATTAAGGAAAAAACTACACCTAAGTAGATGAACCTGCCAGGATAGAGAAAATAATTGCTGTGCTATGAATAACATTGGCTGTTTGAAGCACCAGGAATTTCCAGCATGGGAAAATGTTCCAGAGGCAAAGAGGCAAATACAACATGCTTTCCTTGGGGGGATGGAATGGAGGACGGCAACTCCTCCAAGAACTTCCCTGAGAGAAGGAGGACAGGGGGACTGACAAGGCTTCCTCCCCACACCTGGAGGGGGTGGGGGAGAGACTGTGGTACCATGATGGGAAGCGTCAGCATTCATGACAAGAGAAAATTCCCATGGGGATTTAACCAAGCATCTTCCCTGCTTGGTTCTGAGGTTCTGCTCTACCAAATAATCGTAGTTTTTGTATTTTAGCACCTTCAGCCAGAGACTGGAGCAACCATGGCATAAAGATCCTGTTCAAAGTGGTGTGAGGCTATCTCACTGGTTTGGGTGTGACAAAAGGGAAGGGCTAGCCTGTGACACTAGCCACCCCAGCATGAACTCTTAGCTCAGGTTAGTCAGCTGGTTTTTAGAAGCTTGTAGTTTTAAAACACATTTGTACTTCCATTTGCGCATGAAAAACATAGAATTAAAAAGATAAATAATAAAAATAAATTTAAAAAGCATAGAATGAAAACAAGTAGCTACCATTTGCAATGAAGAAACATAAATGATTTGCTGTTCTATTGCAGTTGCACCACCAGATTAAAAATTAAAACATCACAGATTTACTTCATGATTGTTGATTTTTTTCTCTCAATCTCCTGCCCCATTCTCTCATTCTAGCCTTCACAGCAATCAGTATTTTGATGTTTTTATGTGTCTGAGTATTTGCATATGTATTTAGATACTTAGACAATTCTCAGTCCTGTTTTTGCATGTTAAATTTCTACATAAATGTCATTTTTGCAACAGCTAATTTTTTTATTAAGAGACTTCCAAGTTGTTCTGTAATAATTTCTTTTCACAACAAACAGTACTGCAAGATAATCCTCATAGGTACCTCTTGGCACTCCTGTTGAATAGTTCTTCTAGGGTACACATTTTCTGCTAGCTGGGTATGGCCAGGTTTAACTCTTGAGTGGGTCCAGTCAGCTCTGGCTTACCCCAGTATCCCAGGAGAACCTTCAAATCTCCATAAAGGTTCCACAATGTCACACTACATTTTATTACACTTATGAACATAGGGCTGGTCATTACTGAATTTAAGACATGGCATGGCTTGTGTGCTGCTGTTATTTTGTCTTTCACAATTTTATTTTGCAAAAAAAAAAAAATGGCTTTTCCTGAACTTCTTCAAAGGAACCCATCAATTCTTTTCACATTTTCAGAATGTCTTAAGACATCTCCCTCTCCTCCTTTGTCCCCTCTCTCTTCCTCTCCCTTGTTCTGCTTGTCCACCTCCTCATTCTCTTCTTCCTACCCCATTCTTCTCCCCTCCTTTCCTTGTACCCAGAGAAGAGCCGTTCTCTCACAGCCATCTCTTATGTACTGTTCTTATCACTGTAAACTCCATCCTGGTTCTTAAGAAAATTCTCTAGTCATAGAGCACTGTTTCTATTAATGGTCTGGGATTTGAATGTGAAGGGTACAGTGCCAATGACAATGAAGCTAAACTTCCCCCCTGTGACTGTCCTCTGTAAGACACTCATCATGTCCAGGTTTTTTTTTTTTTTATGCCCCCTTTTTTCTTGTGTTTCCTATGCTGTTATTTACAGGCCACTTTAAAGTTCCATGACCTGCCCAGAGTCACACATGCCTTATAACTAACTCTCCCCAAATGGCTCCTTTTGTCTGTGTTATCTCTTAGATTTCTCAGCCAGTGGGGAGTTGGGGGAGATTGTTCCCAATAAATCAAGACGCTTCCCTTCCTGGAACCCTATGTATGATGCGACTGTCCAGTGCTTTGGACACAAACTGGTACTGGTGGCTGGAAGTCTCTCCAAAACCAACACAGAGAATTGTACTTCAATTTCTAAGTTCATGTTTTCACAAAACAAAAATACCACCATGCTCCCTCAAAAGAATTACTCAAAGATAAGACCACATGGGGGCGGCTGTTCTATTTTGAAGGATTTCAGGTAGAGCCTGACTTGGTTCTCAGTGTCACTTGCATGTGTGCAATGTGGCTGTCACAACCAAACTCAGCATTAGCAGGGAAGGTTCTGAATCAGTTTCTCTGAAAATCAGACAGACTACAGGAGACATATGTCCCACTCAGGGGTAAGAACGAATGCCCAAACGCCCCACGGCGAGACAGAGAGTGTGCGATAGAGAGAGAGACTAAAATAAGTCATAGTCCACAAAGGAGAGGAGACTGACAACAGCCTAGGAAAAGAAAGGGGAGAAGGGCGAGCAATGGACATGAAGAGACTTTGTGGCTGTTGGCCTACAGAGTGCACAGCAGGGGCAAGATGAAGAATGAACATAGATTTCTTCTCCAAAAAGGAAAATTCTGCTAATTTTCCACGGTGTGGATGCAGAGGCCATGGAGATTGGCAGGCAGTGTCCGAGTGACAGCGGATGACAAGGGGAAGGTATTACTCAGGGAAAAGTCAGAAGCAAATACACAACATTTAATTCTACCAAGCAGTGAGAACACAGCTCATGGAATTACTTTATGAGAGGTAGTCTTTTTGTCTTCCCTATTCTTAAGTACCAGCATGGCAACTATGATGCAGGGCAAAGCAAGGGCTGCCCAAGCTTGACTTTGAGGCCCAAAACACCGGTGAAAAGATGAAGATGCTTGCCTGCCCCTGCAAACCCATCATTACACACAGTGAAACAGCCAGTGGAGATAGGAGAATTGGCCGGAAGCTGTCAGGCCAGCTAGCCCATGGTGTAGTAGAAACAAGAAAGAGGCTGTTTGCACCAAGTATAAGGGTAGACGTTACTTAGAAAGTTGTCCTCTGGCAACTTTCCACAAGTGTCCTGTGGCACCAGTGTGTGCCTGTACTTTCTCACACAACTGAAAATATACACAAACATTTTCACTGATATCTGCTCCACCCATCTGGCCTTCCCTGTTCCTTTACATCCAGGTACTGGAGTCACAGGGAAGGTTAGTGACCAAGAGTCCAGGAAACGGCACCCTCTCCTGCAAGGTTCAGCTGACAAGGGGTGCTCATGTGAGGCTGTTGACCTACCACAGGGTTGTGTTGTGTTATGGAAAAGGTATGGGCTATCCGGCCTGTGAAGAATAGAGTGGTTTTCAGAACAAGATCATAAGGTGGGGTTCACTGACTGGTCTTCTAGGGGAGGTCTGGGTCATGAGGGGGGAATGTAGAGATTCTATCCTGGCCTGTAGAGCCTTAACAACCCATCCCGACATCCTTGAGGTGAGGGCTGTCTGGTCTGTGTGGACTTTGAGGGGTCTGGGGTAAAATGGCGAGGTCTGCGCCACCTGCTGGGGGACTTGGGAAAGCCTGTGGACGCTGGGACTGTTTGTTAACCACCTGTCAAAGACAAGAGCATTCATTTAGCTTTGTTAAACTGAAGTTTCAGAAGACACGGCAATGAGTTTGAAAGCCTCAGCATCCCCATGGGCCTAGGGATGATGGCATGGAAATTTCAGGGATCTGTCCCACCATACACTGTCCAGGGGATCCAATGTGCTACAGTTCTCATGAGAGCCCACTAGAGAGAAGCAGAGTGGCTCCCCAGTGGTCCTCCCAGGCCCCAAGTGGCTGTCAGAGCCATGGTGTGGTGGATTCCTCCTTACCCTGGATTCAGCCTCCAGTCATCAGCATGAGTCCCTTGCAGGCAGGCAGAGACCTGTGCCTGCTGAGTGATGCTCTCACAGAACAGCCACTTGCAGAGTCATGAATCCAGAGTCAGGAAAAGAAGAAAAACCATTGTGACACAGCACACACCACTGGCCAGCAGACTGTCCCCTTCAGTCAGTGGAAAGGCCGTGAATGCCGACCCAACATCTGCTAGAACACAGCAGAACTGCTGTGGTAAATAGCCTCTTCCTGCGGAAAGTTGCTGGGCTGCCTGCCCTGCCCTACTCATTTCCCCTTCAGGAAGGTATGAGTACACCCAGCATTAGGAGCCAGAAAGTGGGGGACCGCCCCCTCCCCCAGGTTCAAGGAAGCCCTCTTATGACTGGAAAGTGCTGGACCCCAGATTTCCCCTCTTAGCACCCAAGGTGAGCATCTGCACTCCCCCAAGGCCCTGGGCCCTTTGTGACTGCTTTGTCTCCCCTAAATGGGGGCAGAAAAACACTGCAAGTACCAGAGGCCTGGAGAGCCCCTCTCGAAGGGCAGCTGAGCTCAGACATGAGACTGGGTGTTGGCTGCCTCTTGGCTATGTGACAGAGCCATAGGTGGTTGTGGTGGAGCTTCTCACCTATGGAAAGTTCAGATGGGCTGGGAGCAGAATGGAACATTTCTTTACTTGATTGTACCTGTTAAGTATTGAGCCTTGAGCATAAAACACAGCTCTGGCTTATGCAGGTGGCTCTCATCTCAGAGAACTCCCCATGATGCTTTCTGCTGGCAGGAAGTGTGGTTGGCTTTAGATTACAAACACACCAAGAGACTGCAGGAGGGGGGAGTTCAAAATCAGATAGATATAGCCCTCTGCATCCATTGTCAAGAGAAGACACAACTCAAGCTGAGTATAGTGGCTTATTCTTATCCTTGTTTGTCAGGGGGCTGAAGGGGGAGGATTGCCTTCAGTTAGAAGGCAGCCTAGGCCGCTGAGTGAGACAGTCTAACAAGAAGCCGCACCCTTTTCCGGTGTCACAAATTATAACTCCTTGGAAAAGGAAAATTGTCTTCAATGAAGTGACACTGGGAATATCAACCACACCGCAGGGCAGACCTCATGCTCAGGAGTATTGGCTAACAAGTGCAGTGTCATGTCGTTGTTAAGACATAAGCAAGCAAACAAACAAAACCATGAGGTTCTGAGAGGAGGGAGGTGGGGAAGATTTGGGGAATGTGAGAGAATGTGACCCAAATATATGAAATTACCAAAGAATAAATTTTAAAAGGAAAAGAAAATGCTTGTTTTCTTTGTGGTGTGACTTTGTCCCCATTTATAAGCTACCAGGTGTATTCACCATTTTAAGGGAAGAATGACCCACAGGGATGATGAAAATGTCTAATGGAAGCTTTAATTAGACAAATTTTATTTTTTATCTTAGAATGCATATAGTTCACGATGAGACTCATCACCTCCAAGCCTTTGCAAAGCTGAGGCCGTGTTTCCCGGACTGCGAGCTCTGAGCAGAGTTCTAAGTATTCAATTTTTAAAAGAGTTCCTTCCTAGTTAAAGCATCTAAGACACACGGCTATCTGTTATCCTGGTCCCCAACGGGCATCTTTCTGTAGGCCAGGTAGATCAGGAAGGCCACACCCAGGAAGATAGCCACGCCCCGTCTCCAGCCCTTCCTGTAGGATTTCTGCCATTCCCACAGCCCAGTTAGCAGCCTGGTGTGCAGGGGCCTCTGCATGCGGGTTGCCACCATCTCTGCCACATTGGTGAGTTGGTCCTGGGGGTCAGCGCCCCGCAGGGTCTTCACCAGATCATACACTTCATTGGAGTAGCACGTGCCACCATGCTCCCTCACCAGGTGCGCCACCAGGCCCAGCAGCTGCTCAGCTTGTGCCTCGAGCTCCTGGCCCGTGGCGCGGTTGTTCAGGGCGCACACGCGGCCCCCGCACTGGGCCACCAGCTCTCGCAGCGCGCGGTTGTCCGTGCAGCGCACGTAATCCTGGAGAGACTCTCCGGCTAGGTCCTCCTTTCTAGTGAACACCACAACCGTCCGTGCCATCACCTGCTCCCCGAACACCCGCTTCACCCCTGCCAGCGCCTGGCAGTCCTCAGTGGTGAAGCGACCCAGCTGGGTGACCAGCAGCAGCGCATGGGGCCCAGGCGATGACAGCAGGAAGCAGCGGGCTGTCTCTATGCACGCAGGGTCGGTCTTCAGAACCTCAGAGCTGAAGACATCTGGAGTGTCCACCACCTCCACATACCAGCCGGCCCACCTCCTGTTGGCCCGGGAGCAGGCTCTGGTGACAGGCACAGCCCCCAGCTTGGACAGGAAGCACTTCTGGCCCAGGATGCTGTTGCCAGTGGCACTCTTGCCGGTCCCGGTCTTACCTACCAGGATGAGCCTCAGTTGGGGCACCCTTGGGCCTGGTGAGTCCTCCTCCAAGCCTGAGGACCAGATATGGCAGTATTGAGTCAGAGTCATGGCTTTCTCCTGGGACTCACCTGTGTTCTAGCCTTCAGCACAAAAGGGAAGGACCCACATTGCGTGCTCCCCTCGGAAGCCTGGTGCTCTCATCTGCTTTGGGCTCTCAGAGCTCAGGCTCCTTCCCAGCTTTCCTCTCTGCACTTGGATTCTCTGCACCTGCAAGTTCTCCTGCGTTTCTGAAAGTGTTCATTATAGCTCATGGGTCTACCAGGGTGTCTGATCCTGCACGCACAGGCCAACCTGATGCTGATTTGACTCTACTGTTGCCCCAGATGCTGGCTATCGAGCACAGGGGAGCTCCTCAGTCCCAGACACAGGTTGAATCTCAGCCCACCAAATGCTCCTTGTGTAAGGGCAGGAATTGCTCAGTCTAGGGCACATGTCTTCTGCAAAGGTGGAGGTAATGTGGGGCTTTCTCCTGGGTTGTTAGAAAGTTAGAGAGGAGAGTTCACCTTCTTCCCTCTTTGACCTCTCTTGTCTTAAGCTGGCTCCCTAAAGAGTATGCTCCCCTCTTAGGTAATGTTTTGTTACATTTTATTTATGGGGGGGTCATACCACTGTGTCCTATGGGGCTAACAGTCAAGTTTCAGGAGTCAGTTCCCTCCTTCCATCATGTGGGCTCAGGAGTTGAATCAGCTCACCAGGCTTGCCTGCTTGTGCCTTCACCCACAGTCATCTCCCTGTTCTAACACTGGAGACCTGGTGAGTGAGGCTCAATCTAATACTGGATTTCCCATCCTCTGTGTCATTTTTGTGGAGACCACAGTAGGTTTAGGATCCTCTTTCATGATGTAAAAACCAGTGACAGGCTGGTCAAAGCTCAGAGCTCCTCTCAGCAGGTCAAGGCCAGAGACAGTCAAATACAGGACCCAGGTCCTGCTGTGTCATCCCAGGGTCTTCCAGACCTGAGGAAGCTCCATCTACTTCTTACCCTTAGCGCCCACACCAGCCAGGATGCATTGAGAGAGGGGCTCTTACCATAGATGATCTCCTCATCTCTTGCCATCTTCCTCCCTCCCATGCTTCTTAGAGGACTCTCGGTTACAACTTGCTCCTGCATGTGCTCATTCCTGCAAATGGGCAAAACCCAATCACAATGTCAGGCAAAGTCTAAAGAGCAGGGGCAAAGCAAGGAGTGGCAAAGCAAGGCTTTAGGGATCAGGCAAGTGTCTAGAGACAAGGTGGGTGCCTTTCGTCCACTGTAGTAGAATCTGCTATTCCTTCTTAGAGATGACATCTGGATTTTGAAGAATAGCATCTGGGGGACCAGAAAGATGGTTGCAGTGCTAGCTTGACACCCCAATCTTGCTCTCCTGACCCCTGTTTAGGTAGACAGAGAGAACCAACTTTATAAAGTTGTCTTATGAGTTTCTGAGCCCCTCTTCTTAAGCAACTTCCCTTCTACCAATGATATTCTGACTGTAACATTATTTGATACAACCAAGTACTCTCTGGTCATGTGTGCCTGATCCCAGCAGTCCATAAGCACAAAATCACAGTGTCCCCTCTATCTGCTGCTCCAGCCTCATTTCCATCTAACAAGCCTCAGCCTGTGACAGCACAGACACCAGATTCAGTCTCTCCAGCCCGCTCTGGATGTTCTCTGGTGAGAGCTTTGCCCCCACATCCTTGTCTGAGTCCTTATCTGCATTTCTCCATCATTTCAGAATCCATCTCTTTGTCTCCACTATGGGTGATATGTTTCCTCCCACACTCCCTCCTGTGAGCACAGCACACAGAGAAAAGTAAAATGTTAACTCAACAGCCTGTCTCCAAAAAGGGGCTTTGGAAACATGTTGGGTAAACCTCCCATCCCTCTCTCCAAAGCTTTTAGTAGAACTCACTGTGTGGTTCTGTGTCACTGTTCTGGGTACAGAAATGAAGAAACAGCCATAAGACTGAGAGCAACGAAGAAGACCTCTGCAGGAACTTGAAGACCTTGTCCTGCAGGAAAACGAGGATGTGTGGGCACTAGGACTCCCCAGAGTTCAGAGTGGAAGCTGACATTATATTCAATGGTTTTTAAGAGAAAAATAAAATCTTGAGTAAAATCTTGGGTGACAAATGGTTTTTATTATCTGGGAATATAAAGCATGGCAATTCTATATGCTTAAGAGAGCTCAGCAGTCATCTGGCTCCAGCCTCCAGGGCTGATGGTTAGTGTTCCCCTCAACATCTCATTTCTTAGACCGATGGTTCTGACACAAGTGGGACATTTCTCATGAGGCTAATCACAGTCAGCATTTGAAAATGAGCTACTTCTCAAACTCTTCATTGTAGACGTGAAGAAACTGCGAGGCCTGTAGTTGGACAAACTTGAAATCATGAAGTGAAGGTGTGAGAAACACAGAAGTATCTTTTGTGTTTGCTGAATGTTCATTTGAAGAATGGTGTCTTCTAAACTGTGCTTTGTTCCTGGAAGAGGATCTAGAATAGATTTCTCTTACCGTATGAAAGTAGTGTGGGAAGAGACGAGTTTTGTTAATCAAGAATGTGTGTACTCCTAAAACTTCCTCTGAACATGCTCAAGTTGAAATCCAGACCATCACTCCAGCATCTGGAAGCCTGCTCTTGCCTGTGCCGCACACAGGGCAAGCACTGCACGGTGCTTGCAAAAGCAGGTGTGTAGGCAGCAGACACTTTGGTCTCACAGCCAAGCCCCCTCTTAACCCCAGCTCACAGGCTCAGGCTCACCTTTCTTGGTGACAGACTCTGAAGTGGCCCCGGCCTCCTGCCTTCCCTTCAACGGTGAATGCAGAGGTCTCTGGGTGCTGAGGGCGGAGCAGAGAGGAAGTCACTGGGCTGCCTGGGTCTCAGAGATCAGGAAACTGAGAGAAAGGCCGGATGAAGATGACTTAAAGAGACAGAAACATTTGCCATGCAGTTGTGGTCTTGGCATTTTCCTCATGGAATCAATCACAGTGACCAAGGGGTGCCTGTGTCCAACAACAGTAGCACCCAAAATGTTGCCGTAGCCAAGGAAGGAAAGGAAGACCTAGGGCCCTGAGGTCCCACTCTACCCTAGAATTGGTTACTGCTGATCTTCAGTTCTTCATTGCTCTTTAAGGATTTCTCTTACTATAAATTAGTCTCCAGGCTGAGACAGGAGGATGACAAATTTAAAAGCACTCTAAGGTGTTTAAGAAGACCCTTTCTTGCTGGAGGTGTATAGCTTTAATCCCAACACTTGGGGATCAGAGGCAGGTGGATCTCTATGAATCCACAGCCAGCCTGGTCCACAAAGTGAGTTCCAGAACAGCCAGAACTGCTACAAACAGAAACACTGTCCCCAAAAACAAAAACAAACAACAAAACAAAACAAAAAGCCAAAACAACAACAAAAAAACCCGACTCTTATCTCAAAAAAAGACAAAACACCAAAGGCTAGGGGTGTAACTCATTGATAATACACAAGGTCCTGGGATCTATGCCTAGTACTTAAGTTAAAAAAAAAAAAAGGAAAAATTTACAAGAGTAGAATAACTAATGTCACTAAGACTGATATTGATTATTAGTGGTTAATTTTTAAATCAGTATACACATACTTCATTTATTCCTATTTCACTAAATAAAGGCTTTTATCAGAGATGTGAGCTATTTTTAAATATCTTTTGATGGTGATTGGAGTAATCACATGATTTTTTCTTTTAATCTATCAATATTATAAACTATGTTGCTCCTATATGTATACTTATGTATGTGTGTATGTATATTTGTGTGTGTGGGCACGCGCGTACATTTGCGTGTGCATGTGTGAAGACTTGGTTCCAAGATTTGTGGACTGTTGAGGTGGGGGACAGAGTGATGATGAAAGGAGCCACTAGGGATTCCTCTTGAGATTTATGGACGAGAGAGGAAGGAAAGAGCAGGACTGGGCAAAGACAAGTTAGACTGAGACACGACTCCACATGGCACTCTGCAGTTTGCACTGACCTTGAGATTGAAGAAGAGGCTACCGGACTTTATAAATCTATCAGCTGGTTATTGGATGCAAACTTCCCCTGGAGAAAATGCTTAACCTAGAGGAATTCCTCTTCAGAAGATGCCAGCCTCTGGGCAAGGGTGAAGCCACACAGTGGGGACGGCCAGCTGTTCAGCTGAAGGGAGAGACTGTCCCTGGGCTGTGCCTATAGGTTAGGCATGCTAATATAATTTCTCTTTTTCCACCGAGGTTCCCAACAAGCACAGACATGTCCAACTCTAGGGAGACTGAGGCAGGAAGTACCGTGAGATTAAGGCCAGTCTAGGCAACTTAGGAAGTCCCTGTCTCAAAATAAAAACTCAAAAGGGGTCTGTGGATATAGCACAGTGGCATCGTGCTTACCTAACCTGTGTGAGGCCCTAGGTTCAATCCTCACTAGAGAGGGTGGCAACATCCTCAAGGAAGCTTCTTGTCCCGCCCTCTCCACTCTCGCCCTGTAACACCAAACTTAGAAGGAATACTGTCCCTGTGTCCTATACCATCTAGCCATGTGACCACAGACAAGACAGAAGCGAGGAAGAAGGAACAGACCATGGCTGAAAGAATGAGCAGGGCTTACTGAACTACTGAATTCACAATAATTCATTTTATTCTTGTGGTTTAAAGCAATTCTGGGAAATGATTCAAACCGCAGACATATTAAGACATTATTGACAACTGTCTGTGGTCTCTTGCACAACCCCTGTTTGTGAAGAATTTCTGCTTAACCACGAATTCTGTGATGATGGCAATGTTCCCAGGGCTCGTTTTGCAGTGTGGTTAGAGTGATAGGGAGGCTGTACTGTACATTTTAGTTCATATGATTAAATAGCGAATTCATGTGTCTGTAGCTACCATTTGAGTAGCAGTAATCATATTTATTTTTCAGTGCTGGATTGAACGTGCATGCTAGGCAACTGTATCTCTGGCCCTCTTTTGTACCTCTCATTATAAGAGGCAGAACTCTCACTAAGTTGCCCAAGCTAGCCTTGAACTTTCTCTGCAGCTGAGGCATGCCTTCGTCTTGCCATCTTCCTGCCTCAGACTCCCCAGGTAACTGGTGTTACAGGCCTGCGTCACCAGGCTTGCTAAAGGCATACTTTTTAGCAAGATGATACAGAATACTGTTTGTGGTGAGGGAGGAGGCGCAGGTGAAGTGTGATAAAAATTGCAAAGCAAAAATAACAATGGATTTAGTATTTTTAAAAGTCCCAAGCTGTGGTGGAGAGGTGTGATCCTGGCAAGTTTTACAGCCTGCTTTCTTTGGGGAAATTTTAGACTCGCCTTGGATGATTATGAGTTAAGAGGATATCTAATCCGAACATACCCCACAAAATGTCCCAACTCTCATGATGAGAACATTTGCTACAAGTTTATTGCATTCAGTTCCCCCACCCCCACCCGACAGAATATGGCTGTGTTCTCCAGCGAGGAGGTCTCCGTTGCCTGCCACCCCCTTGCTTCTTTCTGCTAAGAGGCTACTTCAAGTCGATTTTGACTAAGTTTGCTTTGAATCCTGAGATTTTGCACATTGGGAAGTAAAACGGGTTTTCTATGAACAATGGGGACAGCTTACTGCTGGCTGTCTCAGTTCCACAGAAGAGACAGGTTTCAAAGGCAAACACCCCCAGGGGCAACTGTGAGAATGCAGTGACATTACTGGGAGGTGGGTGCTGCTAACACAGGAAGCACAAAGATTTGTCTCTTGTGAGTTTCCCATCTGTGATGTCAGGTGTAAGTCACTGTTTTTTCTTGAAGGTCAAGGGTCATGATATAAAGACAGCAGCCACTTCCTTGGATCAGTTCATGGACAAAGCTTGGGCAGGGAGGGTTAGCACCACGTCCTGCTTCAGTGTGGCATCCTCACACTCCACAGACAGCCATCTCCTTCTTCTCACCCAAACCTCTTTTAAATACATGCTAAGGAGTAGATGAACACATATTAAGTGGTCCGTTTCATTTGTGAATTAGGGGCTGGGGAGATGGCTCATCGATTAAGAGCACTTGCTACTCTTGCCGAGGAGCTGGTTCAGCTCCCACAGGATGGCTCATGACCATTC